TGAGCAATTGTTTGTTTGGGTTGAATCTAGTTTCTTTAAAGGTTTTTAAATTCAGATTGGATAGAGAATCGTTTTGAGTCCGGTTCTTAGGTCGAATGGTTTGATCGTCCAGTTGGAATGAATATTCCCGGGTCAGACGGTCTGATTGCTCAAATCAGTGGTTCGCTAACCGAATCAACAGTCCGATTTTTCCAGTCCAACCGTCCGATTTAATGTGGTTTTGAAAACATTGGTTTCTTTCATCTTGGTTCAAGTTCAAGTTCAAGTTCAAGTTCAGGTAATGCTTGGAAATTGGATGTCTAATTAAATATTAAGGTAAATTATAAAGATCTCCCTTGTACTATAAAGTCAGTGACAAAGTCCCCCCTGTATTTTTTATGACAGAAGGCATTAAATTACCAAAATATCCCATTAAACTTTCTCTATTTTCTTTTTCTCATGTTCTCTCTTAAAACCTAAGTGACCCAAAAATACATTCAATTGCAGAAAAAGGAAAAAAAATTGACTTTCTTTGGCGAGAAATCTCCTGCAAGGAAAAAAAATCTCTGGTGGTGTGTTGCCAGGAATGTCGCTTTTCTCCAAACATCTCGTCAGAATAAAAGTGCCAGCATCACTTGGAAATTGCAATATATTCATCTTTCTTGGATCAAGAACGGGAGTTTTTTCCAACAACCCCACCAAGATTAGATTCATTGCTTGTAAAGGCGGTGGTTTTCATGGAAGAGATGTTAGTTTTTCTCCCATCTGGGTCTCGAGTGCGTGTAGACACCAAGATTGGGCCACTCAATCTTGGTGTTTGTTGATGAGGACAAAGGATAGGAGAAGATTAATGGTGTTAATGGGGTTGATGAAGTTCGATAATGAATTTGATCCCGGTGCCCCTGTTCCATTTCGATTGGTTGACGTCCGAGCTGCCATTCCCAAACACTGTTGGGTCAAGGACCCATGGCAGTCTATGAGCTTTGTTGTCAGGGATGTTGCTGTCGTCTTTGGATTAGCAGCAGCTGCAACTTACATCAACAATTGAGTTGTTTGGCCGCTTTACTGGGCCGTGCAGGGAACAATGTTCTCGGCTCTCTTTGTACTTGGCCATGATTGGGGAGGTCCCCTACTTCTATTCTTTTCAGTATTATAGAATGAGTTTTGGATTGCGCAGCGATCATACGATCTTCTCAAATAACCCAAAGCTAAATAATGTGGTTGGGACTTAGGAGATTCTCCAAAAATCCAAAGCTAAATAGTGTGGTCTGGTATTATTCTGATAGCTCTATTTCTTCTTTGAGAGATTTTATGAACTTAAATATCAACTCTAGAAATTTTGGGACTCAACGAATTGTGTTGTGATGACATGATTCAACGAATTGTGTTGTAATGACATTGCAGGAGAATTAGCGATAGGACTCACCATCAAAACCACGGGCATGTTGGAGAATGATGAATCATGGCATCCCATCAATTAATTTTCTGTATTGGCCTATTGTCTGCTCTTGTTTTCTGTCTTTCTTTAAATTCTTCTCTGTTCTTGTTTTCTCAGTGTTTTTTTTTTTATTAATTTCTTATTTACATTTGATTATCTCCTCCTTTACAGTTGTCCGAGAAGATTTACAGGAGTTTGGAGCTGCATTTCATGGTGCCTTTTCCGTTGCTTGCATTTCTTTCTATCTGCTGGTAAGTTAGCTATTTCCTGATTGCTTCAGAATCCATTAGAGCAACTAATGTATGTACTATTGTTTCTCTCTGTTTGCGCTTTAATTATGTTACAGTGGAGCAGAAGTCCCGGAAAGTGAGTCTCACACTTCCATCCAGACAGCGATTTGTTTGTCCCTCATGAGAAGAAAGATGTGATTACGTCCACGCTCTGCTGGGCAGCAATGGTGGGATTGTCCTTTGCAATCGGTCCTATCCAAATGCTTAAGCTCTATGGAGTTCCATACTAGGTGGGCTCAGTTTCTTCTTTTTTAATTGATGCCTTAACTTGCCTTGTCATGATCAACTCCTACAAGAGTTCTCTTCTCCGATTATATGAAATTCTGAATACAGATTGGATTTTGTAACTTGCATCACCATGGTCATGAAGATAAACTTCCATTGTACCGTGGTGAAGGTATGCTTTATGCTTTCTCTCTCTCTCTCTTCCTGACCTTTGTAGTCATGATCTTGCACCACCGCTGCTGTTAGTAGTTGCAGCGGAAACATTCCCTTCTCTCTCTCCTGACCTTTGTAGTCATGATCTTGCACCACCACTGCTGTTAGTAGTTACAGCGGCAACATTCCCTTCTCTCTCTCTCTCTCTCTCTCTCTACCTCCCAGTCTTTTCTTCCCTCCTTCCCTTTGTTCCTCTGCTAATCCCATTCCCTACAACCAAGTCAACCGGCATCGTCATTTTGGTCCCAAGGCAAGCACAAGTATGAATAGTACAAAGTGTTAAAAAATAAGATGATTTTAAAAATTAAAAGTAAAATTAATCAGAAAAGGGTAGTTTGAGCGTTTAGAATATAAACCGTCAAATGCGAATCTTTTCCGAAGTTAATTGACGGAACACTAATGAAGCGATGTCTCTGTACAATGGCCAAAGGTCGGAGGAAGTCTTTATGACAAAAAAAAAATTATAGGGAGTATTTGTAATTTACCCTAAATATTATTTGCTAAAGAGCTTATAACTATAAGTCATCTATCAAAAAAAAGCGTCATTTTTTTCTTTTGCTTTTCTTTTCCCATTTTTGCCTTTCTTCTTCTTTGGGGTTGGGAAACTTTGAATAGTTGTTTCTTTGTTACTCATACTTCTTTTCCCTCTCATTAATTAATGAAGATGTCATAATAAGGTGATCAATTTGTACTTAATTTATCTTAAATGCTGAAAAACAAAAACTTCAGATACAAAATCAAGGACTTTTTATACCTAATACCTTTATTTTCTATGGGAAAAACATAGTTCTATGAAAAGTCTCCCCTCCTTTACGGTGAGCATTTTTGGCCTGGACCATAAATTTCCAAATTTGGGGCATAAGTTTTGTGTCATGCCTGGATCCAATACTTAAGGCCCATCCCAGCCTGCAACATGTGTATATGTGTTATTTTATATCATATATGTATTAATATTAAAACACTAAAAATTGTATAAATAAATTTTATACACATATTCTATGTCTTAGAATATTGTAATAAAAGAGGCCCGCCCTATGTCCCCTTCTTGTGGGTGCTAAGCCCATCCCAGGCTTGATCTATGATCTCCCTTAATTGTGCCCCTTTTGCGACTTACTTTGTCCCTTTGATCGTTTTTGTTTTTTTTTTCAAAGACAGAAGCTTTGCTTTCGGGCCCATTTTACACAATAAAGTGGAAACTCTTGTTCTCAATCCGGTCATGAACATTTATATATACTATTATAAAGTAGATATTTGTTTTTTTTTTTTTTTGTGTAGGTCATAAAAGTTAAATTTGATTATATAACTTTAACTTATAACTTTACTATTTATTTATACACATGTTATATAATATAATTTGAAGTATGCGTCCTTATACTTGTGTTATATAATACAATTTGAAGCCAAGCAGGGGTGTTGAACAACATGATTGATTTTGTTTTTAAAAACAAAAACAATAGCCATATCAGCAAAATTGTATTGTTTTCAATGGAACTGCAGTTCTTGAAAACAAAACTACCCATGTTATTGAACACTGTGCAAATCTCCTGAAAAAATATTCATCCCTTTTGTTTCAACTTCCAATACAAAAGGGATGAATATTTTTTTCAGGCTGAAATATTACATCCATTCTTGAGCATCTTTTAATGCAAAAACTTTATATTTTTTCAACCCCTTCTACATTTAAATCAATGCAGCCTATGTGAAGAGAGATCACATCTTCGCCCCACAAGGGGCCGCCCCACGGTGTATCCCCGCCGTATATTAGGAGTATCTCCCGATGATGATAACATCAATTCTGACATTATTATCGGGAGATGTTTCCAATACACGACAGGAACGTGCTGTGCTGTGGGCATTGTTGTGGGGCAGCCCCTTGTGGGGCGGAGATGTGAACTCATGTGAAGAATGCTGGTGTTTATGTTAAAGAGTAATGGGTACTCACAATTGACAAGCATCTCGTGGACTTGGGAACCCTTTGGATATATGACTATCAAAACGTCATGAGACAGATAATGATGGCAAATTGTTTTTTCTTCTTCCTACGTAATAATTAACCAGGAGGTTTGGATTGTATATATTGTAGGATTTGATCTTTAATGCACTTGGAATGGGATATCTTCCCTAGCTTTTCTTTTCCTTATTTCAGAAAAAAAAAAAAAAATAAAAGAAGAAAATAAAAGAATCTACACGAAGTTTTTCATTCAACATTTTTGCTTCCATCTGTTGAAATTAAGTTCAGTACAAAATAACTCAACTCTAATCGAAAATCGAAACAAAATTATTCTTACTAAAAGCAAATGACGAGAAGGAGAAACTGTTTGGAGGAACCCTATCCCACTAGGACTGTCAGTGGAGCAGTTTTGGATTGGACGAATTGGATGGATAACAAGACTGAGACATATTGAATTGGACCAGTCTAAATCTAATAGTCCACAGTATTTCTTGGATTGGATTGAACCTGATCCATGCATCCGTAATAGATTTATATTGGATTGAACTAATAACTGAGCCATTGATAGAAGTCAATGGATAAAGTTTGGGTTGAAATCGATCTAAAATAAAACCAATTTGAACAAATTCGACGGTCCAGATTTTGATTTGAACCGATCCAAAATCGTCCAAAGTATTCAGCAGATTTGATTGGACCTGGTCCATCGGGAATGGACTCATTGGATTGTACCAAGTCCTGTCCAATAGACACCCCCTTCATGGTTTATAGACTTTCTAGGATGAAACCGGAATGTTCATGCGATTATGAGAAATTTTTTTCTTGTTGGATGATAAGAAAGTTCTACTAATAAATCTATTGAAATTAATAAAAGTTGTTGGACAAAAGCAAGTGTTATTTTATTGATAACTAGTGGATAAAGACAGAACGAAGTCTATCCATTTGACTTCCAGCCAGTTTAATTAGTCTACATATAGATCGATAAACCTTTGCCCTTCAAAAATTGACAACGGATCGATAGGTAGCGCCGGGCTGCCACCCTGCCGGAATTACGTTACTGGCTACAATGGTGTTGCTAGATTCGAGTGCTTTGAGCCTGAGAGAGAAGGGAGCTCGCAACTGAGAGCCAGCGTCAAGCTTCCAAACTGCACCCCAGGATTGCTGCATGGGGAGCCACATATCCGAGTCTAGTGCTTCCCGAAGATCAACAGCAGCCAGATCACCATCTCCATCTTCGAATTCGACTAAAGCAGCAAAGTAGTTAGGGTTGGATCCCGCGTCCACGTGGAAAGCCACCTTTACCCCTGGATAGTTGCACTCCACTCTGCTCGACATCAATACCAAAATTAAGCACATGCTAATTTATCAGTCCAAGTTCAGGAGCTTGTGATTCAAAATTTGGTGGTGAAGATCTCGCATTCTCATGGTGTCAAGAATCAACTCAGTGTTTTCATGGACCATCCGATCTAATCAACTATTAATTAAGATTTAAGGTTGATGATTTATTTAAGATAATTTTAAATCACGTTTATCTAGTTTTTCTTTTTTTTTCCCCTGCAAAATACAAACCTTCGGTACTGAATCTGCAGAATTCCAGCGTTGCGTAGTTGGTCACTTTGGCCGGAGATCGCCATTGCTCCAAATGCAGTCCCACTCAGATCAAAATGAACCGACTCGGCTAAACAAGGACCTCCGGCGCACTCGTCGGTAATTACGACGGTCACGGGATTCCCTGAGCACGCCGAATTGTCGGTGCACTTCACCTGATATTGAATTGAATCATAGTCGTTAGGCCTTAGTCGTTTGGTTTGGATAATTTGATGAACTTACAATCAAGGGCATGCAAGAATATTAGTACGTAGTGCAACGAAACTATCAAATGTTATGTTCACGGTTCACCTGATAACAAGCCCCACAGCCTTTGCCCGACTTAAATAGAGAAGGGCCTCCAGCTGATACCAAGGAAGAAAATGGAGCTTGCTCCACAGCACTCCCATACCCACAAGCTCCACCTGCTCAATGTATAAACATAGTAACAGTTATAATTAAGTAATACAAGAATAGTGGTAATTCTCTCTCTCTCTCTCTCTCTCTCTTACATATACACACGTACACGTTACGTACCATCGCTTCCAGCTCCATTAGCACTTCCATACCACGTAGCTCCGGCTGGTGACCAACCGGAATCGGTGTTAGAGGCATTAAGGAGCTTTCGATTAAAGCAAGAACAGAAATCTAGATTAGAAAAGAGAGCCAACAGAGCAAAAGAAAAGAAGAAAAAGGAAGCCATAGCCACTATATGTTGTGCTAAGCTTAAGCTATAACAAAGAACAGTACTGGCACAACTGAGACACCAGAGAGCAGTAGCAGTTATATCTCAGTTGCTTTGAGTGGTTTGATAGGAAAACTGACTAGTATTTTATAGACCAATGAAGTAGGAAAACTTGAACCTCTTCTTTTTTTATTATTATTTTTTTCTGTGAGGAATTTTTTAATGCTTCCACTCTATTTCAAATTGTTAAAACTCAAGTTATTTTAAGTGAAAAATTAAAATTCACCTCTTGTTTTCTGTTGAATGCGCTATGTCCATCAGGATGATTTCATCATTTAATTAAACCTCAAAGTGAGATATCTTTCTTTCTTTGTATGTCTAGGAGTCCAGGTGGCAAAAAAATCTCTCTTTGTTCTACGTTGTCGGTTGGGCCGCTGTTTTAACCAGTTGGCTATCCGAATGACAATGCCAAAGAGATCTCCCCATTGTTCTATATTGTCGGTTCTCGGACCCAAATCTTCCTGACGAATTACCACCCGGAAGAAAGAAAAAACGAGACCGACCCGAAGAAGAAAACTTTTCATCGGCTTTTTTCAAGCCTGTTTTTAGTGTTTTAAGCTCTCTCTCTCTCTCTCCCTCCCTTGCGCAGTGCATGGCCTTGAAGCGATTTACTATTACTTTTAATTCGTTTTCTTTTGTTGCGTACGGCCCAACAGGGCCCACTCATTGAGGGCTGGACCCACTAAGATTTTTTGCACATGCATTCCTGTCTGGGCTGAGCGCAGAAGGTTGGGCTACCTTGACCCGTCCTTCGAGGAGTCGGAGATCAGATTACACAGATAGCCAGAATTTTCGGTTAATGAAAGCGAAACTTCCACTGACGTTGCCGTTAATGGTGGTTATTGGCGGTTGAATGTCTAGTGATTGTCAATTACGCTGCATACGTTTGCATGTGATCCAACGGTCAAGAAAGCATCCTTGTATTGGACCCTCTATAAAATTCAGAAATAACGGCCCGTAATAGCTGCCATGGATTTAGGGTGTTTTTCTTTCAATGTTTCCAATCTCAATTTCGGTAAGCAAGGTGAAAAAAATATATATATATCATAAATGACTGAAAATCAGGTAGATAGAGTGTTTGTGACTGTTTCTCCCTTCTCAACTTTTGAATTTTGATTGATGACACTAAACAAACATGATTTCTTTCTTTCTTTTTTGAAATTGATTAAGGGAATTCCTTGCTTTTGGAGATGTAGGCAAGAAGACACATGACATTGATCCAGCAACAAAACTAATGAATTAATGATTCTGACCTTCAATCTCGGTCCCACGCTTGTGCATGTGTAACAATGGAAAGGCTTTCTCACTCCTAATTCCTGGCCCAAGCAGGATATCATATCCATGATTGATGCAATCAGGATGCATGTGAGGTTCATGAAAAATTTATTTTTCCTGAATATCATTTACCCAATCGGTAAGTGATACCGATCTCTGAGATAGATAACTTTTCTACATGGGGGAACTTGACAACACTTGGATGAGACAAAATTGCCCCTTTTAATAATAAATTTTTATGGCTAAAATGATCATTGTCTTATTTATCTAGGAAATAAAAGAATATAGATAAATGCACTTACCTGGGTAAGTATTTCTTAGATAAGTGCATTTACCTAAGAAATACTTATCCAGGTAAGTGCATTTACCTAGATAAATAACTTACCCAAAAGTTTCTTTAAGCTGATACTAGAAAGCTTTTTTTTTATATATAGAACTACTGTAAAGGGTGTGACCAATAAAAAAACACCCCTCCACTGAATTTTGATAAAACACAGCTGATTGGGTGCCACTTTTAAACCAATTTCAATAATAGATAAAATATTAATTTTGTTATAAAAATATCATTAAAATATTATTAAAAATTGAAAATTACCAAAATTTCGGTTATGCCTATTCTGAAATGTCAGTGATCAATATATTTGGAAGATGTTTGATTGGTGGGTTCGACCATGATATGAAAAAGATATGATATCCAAAAAACAACTGACCAACAAACTGAAATCATAAGCGTGATAATGAATAGTGTTAATTATCAAAATTCATAGGTGGGTTTTGATTGGTCAAAACTCTTTCCATACCCTTTCGATTATAAGAAATTAATTGGCATTCTCAACGGAAAGAGGGTTGGACTTTCTTTGACAAAGAAAAATAATGAGCATATAAAAAAAAGAACAATGATGAGCCTACTTGCAAAAGTGGGAATGGAGATCCATTTCATACTTCAGTAAACTGAAACAATGCAAACCCAAAATAAACATTTACTCATTTGGACACAAGACAAAACTTAGTGTTCAAACGGAATGACAAAATGTTAATGAAACTTGTCATTTCTTTGAAAATGGCCATTCCAGGTAAAGTATAGTTAATCCATTCAATTCAGCTATTTTCTCTTTTGATCCAAATCCCCATATATGCTACATTAATCATGTACTGTTTAGAAGAAAAAGGAAAGAAAGAGAACCATCACCAGTAATAAATGTAGAAAAAATAAGATAATTAAATTTTAAAGTAAAAAAGAAAAGTCCAGAGTGAAAAAGGAAAGAAAAATACAAAAATAATCAAAATGGATTGCCAATACAAGTGAAATTCAGCCAACGATTTAGCTAAGTTCTTGTGTCAGTTCATTTTATCATTTTATCATTCCATGTGGGGATAGATCTTCTTGAATTGGTGGAATCATAGGAATTCAGATCTAAGGCCCAGTCAACCCCACAATCTTCTTTTCTTATCAGTAGCAAAAAAAAAAAAAAAAAAAAAAACAAAAAACAAAAAAAGATGATGCAGGGAGTAGTAACAACCATAATCTTCAAAAGATTTAGAAAGTTTGATAAAACACAAAACAAAAACAACCACTAAATAGTCAAAGATTGACAAAACTGATAAAAGGGTTCGAAAGTTATACTATTACAAACTTGTCCTTAGGCCTAGTATTCCCCAATCTAGTATTCACACTGATTATAATGTCAACTATTATATCTCTTACATAATTCCAAGGAGTATTTTCTTGTCCACGGTTTAAGAATATAAAATGAATAAAATAATATCAATTATCAAATTAGAAACATAATCACCAAACTGGGAAGACTCAAATCCATAAAAGCTAGCATTGACAAATACCACTCAGTCCAGACATGACAAGATCACTTTTGGAAAGAAGAGAAAATATGCATGCGACATACAAGACGTAACCCAAATAAAATAGAAGGATATCATGGGGCAATACATTCCCCGCCAGCTACTTCCTATCCCAGACTACAACAATTCATACTATGGTTACACTTCGGATCTACTTGTTTTGGGATTGTTGTTAGACAACATCTACAATTGACTTTTGAAGGGATGAGAGATCCATCATATGGATGGCCGAACTCTATAGGAAGATTGGGTGAAATTTCAAAAACTTCTTTACTCCCATCCGGGAATCGTATTCCCAATTAAGAAAACTGTATTTTCAAGGTTCGTTCTTGTAATCAAACCAGACCAAATCTGAAACCAAGATTAAGGAGAGATATACCTGATACAAAATCCATAAAAAAAATTCTCCTCCCAATGCAGGTGTTCATTCCCAAAGAGTGTACCAAATCCTCCCTCCACTGAAGATGAAACAACTTATGATGAGGTAGGATCAATAGGTAGTTATCCACCAAGAACTTCTGATTCTCCAACAATAATTGAATAGGGTAGTGAGCACAAGTTCATAATTGTTTTTTCTAGCAAGAAACATTATCAAGATCTAATTTCGATCAGTTCCAAGAAATGGAAATCGAACAGGGTAGGGCGGCAAGAGCAGGGAGAGAAAACTGAAAGCAGAAACAATTAAACTGTGTTCTGTTGTTGTATGTTTTTCAGATCCACCTTGCTCTTTATATATAACCTTAAAGAGATGATCTCCTAATCTGATTAGGAGTTTCTTGATCCAAATCTTTATTTGGATCTGAACTCTTTAAGTGATAAGGATAATCCCTTATCTTATCTACAGATCAAGATTAGCTACTCCTAATCAAATTAGAAGTTTCCTGATTCAAATCTTTATTTGGATATGGACTCTTTAAGTGGATAAGAGTTATCCTCTTATCCTTATCTACCGATCCATACCCAGATTCACCCCTATTTAATTAATTCAATTAACCCAATTCGAAATGGGCTTTAGGCCCATTAAACTTTCAGGCTCACTTCCTTTTAATGATGGGTAGCTTGGTTTTCTTTGTATGGCATAAAACTCTATCATTGATCTACACATCAGCCACATGGGTTCAGCCTAGCCTCTGTTATAAGGTCTGGTTGAATTCACTACTGAATATAGTGAACCCTTGAGTCCATCACTATGGGCTCTTAATGGGCCCAACATTTACACTAAATGGTCATTGGGTTCAACCATCTTATGAAGGCCCAAGGACTATTGGCAGATGCAAGATTAGCCCATTAGGTATAATCCTCAATGGTCTTACACTTAACCTCTCAACTCTTAATGATCAAACACTGCCTGACAAGAGAGGACATCTCCTTCGGCTGCAAGGTACAATGCTACACTCTCTACTCACATGGATCCCGGGAATTAAAATTTTTTGCAAACAATTTGTGAAAACATAATATATAAGTATATCTCTATATAAATATATTTTGCAAAACCAAATTTCAAGCACATTTGAAATCCACTGTTGGCAGTTTAGGTTTCCATCAGAGAGAGTACATTTTCCTGATCATTCACCTTGTCCGGCAAAGGGGCTGATCCTGTCACTATGATCACCCACTCAGATGAATTCTCGGACTGTCCCAACATACCCAGGTTTTGACCCCCTCTGAGGATCTCACTTATTGGCATATCAAAGACAGCTCAATCTGGTACCTAGTGCAGTACCACAATCGAGTCTAGGGGTCAAGTGTAACATTCTAATTTTGCCCATCTGTCTCCAAGGTCTAGGGCAATCATTGGAATTTGGTCTGATTCAGGGTTTTAAGAAAACTCACACTGCATGTACCTCAGGTCTCACCCTAGCAGCTGAGACAAGCCACCCCAACCAACTTGGCGGCACATCAATGTCAGCC